GTACAGACATGTGTATTGTTAAAATTGTACTATTATATGAGGGGAGACAGAGAATCACCTGGATGGATGTTTTTCTTGTTTTGTGACTGTTTAGTTTTAGTGTGATATGTGTATTAGCATTACATTAGCCAGCTATGGTAATTAGAGACCTGATTTAGTATAGACTTGCCATGTTAGATTGAACTGTTTAGCCCTTTGATAACTGTTTAGTCTTAAGAAGTGTTGCATGTAGGCATTTATGTGTGTTTATGAACTTCCTTGTGGTTTTCTTGTCATTACTGTATGTGTTTGCTTTAGTAGGTTTAGGAAGGAATATTTTGATCACTTACATAAACTCAACTCACATGAACTTAATGACCACTCAGCTCACACACACACACACACACACACACACAAGCTGATACCAAATATGAGCTACATGCTGTTTGATTACATATTTTGTCTGGAGTCTGATTTACTGCTAACCACCACAGGGCTAAGTATGGTCAGAGATAAACTTTTGTGAGGATCCTCTGCATAAACATGGAGTCCAGCGTCCTGTTTTCTAGTAATTCTAGGGGCTTCCCAGAACCGCGGGAGGGGGCCCGCTAGATGTCAAGATTGACATGATGCAGGAGGTTCAAGAAGTAGAAAGGGCTATATAATCAGCTGCAAGGCTGATAAGACAGACTCAGACTTGACGAGCGTGTGGGTACATTTGGGGGGACTTGAGAAGACAGACAAAGACCCCAAACTCTGCAGAGATCCACAACTCCAGGTGATTCTGTTTCTCTCCCTCTGAATTAACATTACAATATATTGTTCGATAAATGATGATTGGCACTGCAGTGATTCTCCCTGTGAATTAATTCTATACACGACACTACTAGAGCTGGTTCTGTCACATTTCAAGGAACCACAATGCAGATACAGCACTGTAGCTTTGTTTGTTTGTAAAGATTTGTTACAGCGTGACAACAGCTCCCACAGCTCCCACATCTTGCTGGAAGTTAATGGCCCCCTCTAAAACCTCTGGAGCCATGTAGCCCAGGTACCCAACCTGCAGAAACCAGACAATTGTTGGTGTGTAACTGATACTCGTCAATGTGGCAACTATCAGTTGGAATGGCTCACCTGTCCGTGTGAAACTCCAGGCGGGTTCCCTGGCTCAAAGCATATGGCGAGACCGAAGTCGGTGATGACCACAGTGAGGTCCAAGCGCAGCAGGATGTTCTTACTCTTAAAATCCCTGAAAAAGAGAAAGATTTTGGGAGGGGCATCAAAGGCAAAAGGGAACCTGGTCTGAAATCTAAAGACCTGAATCTATATTTTCTGTTTAAAGAGTTGACTGACAGACCTATGAGCGATGGCTGGTTTGGCTTCAATACCTTTCTGTGGGGGGACATCTTCATGAAGGTAAGCCAATCCATGCGCCATAGACTCAGACACGTGGCACAGCTTGGACCACCCTAGCACATTTCCCTTCAGGAAGTCTGACAGGGAGCCCTGCAGGAGACACAAGGAGGGATTTGATTGGTTTTCATTCAGAATCACATCCCTACAGCCCCTTAGGGAAGAGGACAGGTAACAAAATTTAATGACAATAAAATGTAATTTTATTCAGTGACCATAAAACAAAAAAACCCTCCACAAAATCCATCCATTATCTTCCGCTTATCTGGGGTCAGGTCACCGGGGCAGCAGTTCAGTAAGGCAGTCCAGACTTCCTTCTCCCAGGTGACATGTTCCAGTTCCTCTGGCAGGATTCCAAGGCGTTCCCAGGCCAGATGAGATATATAATCTCTCCAGTGTGTTCTGAGTCTGCCCCAGGATCTCCAACCAGTTGGATGTGCCAAAGGGATCTCCAAAGGGAGGTGCCCTGGAGGCATCCTGATAAGATCCCCGAACCACCTTAACTTTCCTCCTTTATATGTGAAGGAGCAACAGTTCTACTCTAAGCCCCTTTTGGATGTCCAAACTCTACACATTATTTCTAAGGGTAGGCCCAGCCACCCTATGAAGGAAATTTGTTTTGTCCATTTGTACTCACGATTTTATTCTTTCTGTCACTACCCATAGGTGAGGGGTGGAGCGGAGACTGACTAGTTCATTGAGAGCTTTGCCTTTTGGTTCAGGTCCTTTACCACGATGGTCTGGTACCACGTCTGCATTACTGCTGATGCTGTCCATCCGCCTGTCAATCTCACACTCGATTTTACCCTCACTTATGAACAAGACCAGGAGATACTTAGACTACTTCACTTGGGGCAGCAACTCACTCACAACTCGCTCGTTCTGCGATGAGTCCTGATTCTGTTCCCAGAGGAAGATGAGGAGGAGTTAAAAGAGCAAACACTATATTTGATTGGTCAATTTGTTGACTGATTTGCACCTGGATGGGGAAGATCTTGACAGCCACATAGTCATTCAGAATTTGGGCCTTCCAGATGCAGCCAAAGCACCCCCTGGCCTTTACCTCCAGCAGCTGCAGAGGCTTGAGACCCAGAGGGAGGGCAGCAGGAGGAGGAATAGTATTCTGGAGGACAAAGAGAGGAAAGCAGGGGGCTTGGTTTCATCAGGAAAATACTAAATAACTTCAAAGAGGAGGAAATGATCATAAAATAAAAATGACTTAACAAAAAATACAACCATGAATGTTCACAAAAATTAAAAGTAAAGCAGCCTCATGCTGACAAAAAGGAGAAATTCACATATCTTACTTTCCTTCATCAGCCTCTGTTACAATATTTCAAAATGAGTATAACTATACCCATACACAGCCCTGCAAATAATTCCTAGAAAAATAAACCTTATTTTATAAAGAGGAATATAAATCCATAAAATACACCAAATTACTTTAAAACTATCAAACATTATTATAATACACAAAATTACTTTGAAAACACAACAAACTACCATATAAATACATAACATTACCACAAAGAGAAAATGTTTACAGAAAATACACAACAGCATCAACACACATGCGATAGCCAACTGTCCACCTGTCCATACGGTGGTTTCCGGTGTCGGTGCGTCCAGACTGTGGCGAGCAGAGCGACCGACAGCAGGGCGGCAGAAAGCAAGAAGGAAACTGTCGCTGTCAACAGTCTCACACTGGCGAGCGGGGCGTTGGTCCCTGAAACACACAAACACAGAGAAAATGTTGGAACAACAATTTGCTTAGCTAGTTTTATTTCATTAGTTTAGTTTTTATATTCATAACATTTTAGACTCACGTGTTTCAGTGACTTCCGGAAGGTGTGTGAAGTTCTTGTTGCAGAAGTTTCCTTCACAGCAGCAAAAAAAAAACCTGGGAACGCTCCTCTGTCACTACGCACTGCAACCTGTGACAAGTATACAGAGAAACTACATTTAATATTGCTACTATATCAGCTATTAGCTGACTACTGCAGGGTTTCCATACCACAGAGTGCCCATGCCAAGTAAAAAGGCAACTACTACATCTGCTACTATTAAAACTACATACTTCTACTAGATGTTGTAGTATTACACAACTATCGCTGGTGCTACAGAGTACTGCATGTATGAGGACCGGTCATAGCAGTTGATGTCATCCAGCCAACAGCCCATCTTCACAAGCTCGACAGCGCCAGACTCGTTCATCCATGATGCGTAGCAGTGCAAACATTTGTCTGGGTCGCCATGGCAACGCTCCACCCCGCTGCGATTAGTCCGCTCCAGCTCGTAATTCATATAGTAGTACAAACACTCTGTGGTGTCAGCCGCCCCAGGGCCACTGCCTGTAGCACACAAAAGGCAGCATCCACATTACTTTGAAATTAATTTGTAGGTTTGCTTAGGCCCCTCCTTGAACCGCCCCCTTATTGTGGTGGAGGAGTTTGAGTACCCGAGTGATCCTAGGAGCTATGTTGTCATGGGCTATATGACACTGGTAAGGTTTCCCAAGGCAAACAGG